TTTTTTTTTTTTTTTTACAGTTTTGTAACTTCCTGCTCCGCCCTGCTTGGGTAATTTATTAGTAAATTTCCTTCAAAATTTCTTCTCCTGGACTCTTCGCCTGTTTGATTTAAGCCATTTTTACATTTATTTACTCTCACAGACCACGGAGGCCTTCCGGTGGTTTGATGCAGCGTTGTTTACATTGAGTGCGTACCAGCAAAACAATTTCAAATGGCTTAATAACAGGTAGGAAAACGTTGTTTATGTTTAATTATATTGTTTTTAATATAAACCTTCAATAAATCAACAGTAAACAATCTGATTTAAAAAAATCAAACCAGATTTTCTTTTAATCTATAAAAAAAATGTCTCCTGATGAGAGAAAACGGTCGAGCTCTACTTTAAAAACCTGCTCTCTGACTTGTTTTAAGAACATTGTTCTAACTGTAGAAATGTGGGACATCATCTGGAAGTCCAGAGGAGGAAACCCCCCCAGTTTGGACCCTAAATACCGGGTCAGAACCGTGTTTGTGATCCACTGCAGGAGGGAAGTCTCGTGTAATCTCTGCAGCAAAACAACTGCTGCTCTTAAAGCTTAGAGAGGAAACAAAGTGCAGCCAGAGCTCAGGATCCAACATTTAACGGTTCAGCTGATAAGAGAGATCATGTACCAGCAGGTCGGTCCGGTCCAAGTTCTGGACCAGAAAAAGGGAACCGCAGGAAGCGGAGAGGTAAACAGGAAAATCCGCAGAGACAATTAAATCAGAACACAGAAAGCGGGTTTTCTGAGGAAACAGAATCAGAACCGTTTCTTACCTCAATATATCCGGACAGGGCTGGAACCACGATACCCAGAACCAGGACAGAAACCGCAGGAACTGGACCCATAATGAGCGTCGGGTTCTCCTCTTCTTTAAATCCGTTTGATTAAAAAAACAACAACAACTAAAAATCCAGATGATAAAAAAAATGAAAGAGTCCCGAAGAGTGAAACCCTCCGAACCAAGCCGAGCTGGCGGCAGAGAACCCTTTGGGTTTTACGAAACCGGGCCTGGCGTCGCAGCGGACAGACGGTCTGACTCCTGAATGTGGACTGGGTGTCTGCGGTGGAGCAGATGAAGCTCTGCCTCCTCCTCCTCCTCCTCTCCTGTGCCTCGTCTGACCCGAGGAAACAGCGCCCCCTGGCGGACACAATAAAAAGGAACTAAGTATGGCAACACGTTAGTCACATAATCATCACATCGTTATCCACTGTCTGTTAGCAAAAATATCTCCTGAATCATAAGACGGATTTTAATGAAGCTCACAGGAAGTAATTATTATATGTACATCTACAACTGATTAACGTTTGGAGTACACCCAATTCAAGATGGCCGCCACAGCTAATCAAACATGACAAGCACAAAAACGGACATAATTCAGACAGTTTTACTGATATTGGGCTAAAATTTGGTGTGGTAGTAGCTGAGAGTCATCCTCAACAAATAACCCGAGCACTTTACAATGTGTGACATTTTCTGCTTAAAAAATTTGGCGCAACTTTTAAAAAATTATCTTGTTTTTTTTTTTTTAGCAAAATATCTCATAAATAATTAAATGGATTTTAATAAAACGGTGAACAGATGCAACTAATAAACTTTTGGAGTCCATAAAATTCAAGATGGCCGCAATAGTTAATTTACTCTTTGTGCAAGAAATTTGCTTAAAATATTAGGAAAAAATAAAAAAGGGGGGTAGGGTGGTTGTCTTTTAGCTAAATATCCAGTTAACTATATGGATGGATTTTTTTAAACCTAAAAAGTAGTCATTATATGCACATTAACACAATAAAAATGGCTATAACTTTGGTAAATTCCCAGATATTGAGCGAAAATAACTGAGTATGGCAAGCCATTTAAACATTTATTTTAATTTATGAAAATAACCTTCCCCTCTACTAGTTTTAGGTACCTTTTCTGACAGTAACATTTTGATAATTCTGAATTTAAGTTGAAAACATCTACAATCATTATTAACAGTAGAAACAAATAATAATAATAATAATAATAATAATAATAATAAATGCCTCTTTATGAATAAATATTAAAT